CCGTTTTGTTCCCAGCTGGCCTTTTCTGCTTTACCTGTTATTATACCAGCTATTGCTCCAGTGGTGGACAGGTACAGAGGGTGGCCTTTCCACTAGACATGACAAAATAGGCTATCAAAAACTGTGTTTTAGTAATTCGCAGAGACACAGGCTCTCTGTTTTCCTATTAAACTTGGACAGGAGAGCCTTTTACCTTGTGAAATGAAATTGTAACTACAGTGGAAAAACCTATCACCCATGCCCATAGTGTGCTTGTGAACAAATGCTAGATGGGTGGCAGACATGCTGAATTTTCTCATCAAGATTGAGAATTCGTCTGTCTTTAGTTTCGATTCTCATTCCTCTTTCTGGTCTTCAAATGACCTCTGTCTTCTGTGTCAGATTGCATTATCCAGGAGTTAATGATTATGATTATGCACTCATTACTGCTTTGCTGAAATGCTGTTTTGTGAAAGTTGGGAATTTATGTAAAATCAGTTACTGATAGGATTGATGAGATGTTTATTAGACCTAGTAGGTAGCTGATTTCTGACTTCTCAACTGAGGCAGGAAAGTAGGTAACGAGATATCCACTGGAACATAAGAAACTACTTTTCTTGGTAAAACTTAGACGTTTATCTTGTTCCTGTATAAAATCACCACACTTGTTGAAATTATTTTTTTTCTTTTCTTTTTTTAAAGTTCCTAGGTTTAATGTGACACATTTTGTGAGCATGGTGTAGGACTGATCAAAGAAAAATATGATACCTGGCCCACAAGACCTTAGAGACTGAGAAAAGACTCGATCAATGTGAACGTCTGTGGCATCTCTGAAATATAAAATTAGATCTTCTAGCCCATTGTGACCCAGAAAGAGAGGACCATGCTGTTGTTAGCTTAAATTTTGGATTTTAGAGGCTTTAGGAAAAATGAAAGCAAAAATGAGGGCTTTGGCCATTCTGTGGGAAGACTTGAATAGGAATATTATAGTGCTTTAATATTTTCTGAAAACTTTGATTTACTTGGCCTTTGATGTACATGACCTCATTTATTCCTTATAGGGACTCTGAGGTAGGCTAGGCAGAGACCATTTTATAGATGAGGAAACTGAGCTGTAAGAAAATAAAGAGGCTTTTGCAAGATTACATGGCTAGTCATAATTTTGGGGTAGTTCAGCTCACTAAAAACGTGGGGCAAAGAAGGTTCACAGATGAATGTGACATGACTCCTGTCCTCAAGCTTGCTCTCTTTGTCTGTTCTTTCAGATATACCCCGCCCTCTCTCTCTCTTTTTAATTTGTTGTGGTAAAATATATATACCAAAAAATGGCCATTTTAACCTTTTTTTGTGCACTATTTTCTGACAGTAATTATGTTTACCATGTTGTGCAATCATCACCACTATTTCCAAACATTTTTCATCACTGAGAACAGAAGCTCAGTGCTCCTTAAAGCAATAATTCTCAATTCTTTCCTCCCTCAGCCCCTGGTAACCACTAATAAACTTTTCTCTACGCGTTTGCCTAATCTAGATATTTCATGTAAGCGGAATCATACAGTATTTGCCCCTTTGTGCCTGACTCATTTCACTCAGCATGATGTTTTCTAAGTTTATCCATGTTGCATCAGAACTTCATTTCTCTTTGTGGCTGAATAATATTCCACTATTATTCCATTGTATGTCTCTGGAGACCGCTCCTTGGAAACCCGATGGGGCAGTTCTACTCTGCCCTGTAGGGTCACTATGAGTCGGAATTCACTCAATGGCAATGGGTTTGGTTTTGGTGTTTTGGTATGTCTATACCACATTTTGTTCATCCATTCATCTGTTGATGTCCACCTTGTCTGTTGAGGCTATTGTTTAATTAGTAATCATTACATACTAGTTAATAAGCACTTAACCATGCAAGGTGCTATACAAGAGATGTAATGATAATGCTTATTGCATGCCAGGATTCAGGTCCTTGTCCTTTAGACATCTGACTATGCAAAATACATATATATGTGCATGTGCGTGTGTATGTGTAATGTCACCATTAAATAAGCATGCGAATGGACAATGATAGTTTGCTATCTCATAGTATGAACTTTTCAAGAGAATAAATATGGGAGTTTCTTAGATGAGGAGGACTGGGGGGAGATGTTAGCATTTTGTCCTTCCTGGGACCTTTAATAATTTATGATGGAAATCAGTGAGTTATTTCCTCTGGGATTACAACAAAGTCAGTAGCTATGATTTATCTGACTTTAGCCTTATTTAAACCTGGCATGTGTCCCTCTCTGCATTGTTATGAAGTGTAGTGACAAAAGCATTGTTTTTGGAATCAAAGGACTAACGATTAGCTAGGATCGATCCTGTTGTAATCATAGAGAAAAGAGTCATCGCTTATTTCCACCACAAATTACTGATAAATGAACTGACCTTTAGGTAAGTTATTTAGCCTCTCTGAGCTTTAGCTGTTTTATCTGTAAAACGGGGATCACCCCACCTTATAATGCTGCTGTGAGAATTCAGTAGCATATCACCTGGCATAATGATTTTTTAAATGATGACTGTTATGATGGTAATCATTATGATGGTGGAGCCCTGGTGGTGCAGTGGTTAAGAGCTCAGCTGCTAACCAAAAGGTTGGCAGTTCGAAACCACCAGTCAACTCCTTGGAAACCCTATGGGGGCAGTTCTACTCAGCCCTGTAGGGTCGTTATGAGTTGGAATCGACTTGATGGCAACGAGTTTGTTTTTGGTTTATTATGATGGTGACTGTTGCAGCCTTTAGGGAAGGAGAAGGACTAATTCCTACTAGTCATGGGTAGCTCTAGGGTTTCTAGGAGTTAGTTTGGTAAACTTTTTTTTTTTAATTGATTAAAACAACTTACGTATTTTGGTTTACTAAGACACATGGTCTTCTGTGTCTACAGCTTTCTGGTTACTTTGTAAATAAAAACTATAAGCATGAAGGAGTTTTGTCCAAAGACCTTTAAGCTCTTTATACACATTAAGTTTTATATCACTCCCATGTTTTCAGTGAATATCACCTTTAAAAGTGAAAAACTAAGACACAGAAAGCTTAATTGCTTATTCATGATGTACAGCTGGTCAGTTATAGATGAGTAAAGTGAACCTTCAAATAATTTGTCTTTCAGCAAAAAATGTTCATAAAATACCTGAAACATTAGTTAATAGTTGGCAAGTCCTGTCATTCTTGTTAGGAGCCCTGGTGACGTAGTGGTAAAGCACTCGGCTGCCAACCAAAAGGTTGGCAGTTTGAATCCACCACCCGCTCCACAGGAGGAAGATGTGGCAGCCTGCTTCCATAAAGATTACAGCCTTGGAAATCCTATGGGGCAGTTCTACTTTGTCCTATAGGGTTGCTGTGAGTTGGAATCAACTCGATGGCAGTGGGTTTGGTTTTGGTTTGGGTATCATTCTTATTAATGTATCCTGCATCTTCCCTTTTATTCTTTTTTTTCCCTAGTTCTAGTGAAACTGCCCTGTATCTGGCCCATGTTGTCTCATGTTTGGACTCTGTAGTATGTAGTCGCTTTGGAACAGGTCTTCCTGCCTTCAGGCCTGCTTCCTACCCCCAATCCCCCAGCCCCAACTCTCCACACATCTTGCCTCCTACCTGTCCCCCCACCTTCCAAACAGTCACCATGTTTCAGTGCATCCTGCACATGGCTGTTAGGTTGTTCTTTCACAATTGTTATTTCTTCATACAGTTACAATTTTCTTCCTTTCTTCCCTCAGCCCCATCCCCTCTCCCCTTGCTTCATATAAACATTCCCATCTCCCTCTGCCTTTATTCCTGTGGTTTTGGTTTCTAGGCTACCTTCCCTCATCTTTTTAGTTACTCCTTTTCTACTAGTCTTCTTCTAGCAAGTCATTCCTGTTTTCCCAGCTTGGTTTAATTGCTCCTTTTTCATGATGTCTGTAGTTCACGTAGGAGCCCTGGTAGCACAGTGGTTAAGAGCTGCGGCTGCTAACGAAAAGGTCGGCAGTTTGAATCCACCAGGCGCTCCTTGGAAACCCTGTGGGGCAGTTCTATTCTGTCCTGTAGGGTCACTATGAGTCGGAATCAACTCAACGGCAGTGGGTTTTGTTGTGGTAGTTGATATTGTCTGCATTCGTCATTTGTCACACATTGTTATTGCCTATAGCGTATAATTTTTTATGTCTTCTATTGTCTTTCCTAACATCCTCGTTTTACAGATGAGGCAACTGAATCCCAGAATGAAGACTGGATTTGCCTTGTTACCCTCACAATACTTTATTCATCATAAGCATTCAATAAATGCCAGTCGATGGAGCAAGGGTCTGTGTGTGTGTATTTCCATTGTGAGGGAAAGGAAGCTGCTTACAAATTTAGTTCTGCCTTCCAATTTCTGAACATAATTCCTTTTTTCCTCTCCTTCATATTTTCTTTCTCTTTTACTTTCTTCTTTCTTCCTATTTTTGCCTAGTGTTTAATTCTCATTGTTCTCCTTTTGTGTCCAAAGTATGGTATTTGAGGAAAGGAAGTTGGTGGGTAAATCCTCTCCTCTACATTTTAAACCTCTTTTGTCATGCCCTGATGTCCGAAGACTCCTTTGTGAACACCAGCCATCTCATCTCAGGAATCATTACTGCCTTTGAAGGTGAACTGTATAAGGTAGTTAAGATTACTCTGAGTTTCAATAATTTAAATTATGAGATAAAGTTAAGGGTGTTGGCCTATTTCTCACTGTAAAAGAGACCTCCTGAGTGATCTATCTGAAGTTTTGAAATTTGTAAAAATGCAGTGAGCCTATGAAATAAGTTACCAGGAAGGCAGCATAACGAAAGAGACTAAGTGAGTCAGTTAACAGCATTTGTTAAACACCCACTGTGAGTAGAGCTCTGTTGAAGAGATGTTAATAAAACTGGAGTGTATTAAAAGTTAAATGGTGATGAAGCGATTGACCAGGAAACAGAAGGGAACCAAAGATTTTAATAAAATGTCGGTGGGGTTTCAGCATGTACGTGATATCCTTAACATTTTTCACATGTGTCCATAGCAGTGGTTGATTTGCTTCAGGAATTAACAGATATAGACACCCTCCATGAGAGTGAAGAGGGAGCAGAAGTGCTCATCGATGCTTTGGTAAGTTGGGGTTCTGCAGGCTGGTTTAAGTGTTGGCTTCATCACCACCATTGTCTTTGGGCCAGCTATGGAAGAGACATCAGGTGGGCATCAGGTAGAGATAATTGGCAAGAGATCTGTGAGCAACACTGAATGATGAGAGTAAAAAAGTAGATACAGAACTTGTGGGGTACTTTACTCGTTGGGATTCTGTTGGGTGAGGGGTTGTAGAGGCCTGACATTTATTAACTACCTCTTGTAGACAAGCCTTTTCTCATTCTTTCCTCTCTATTTGATCTTTACCGTATCCTCCCCGATGGGTACTATTGCTGTCTTTTCCATTTTACAGCTATGAACTTGAAGCTTAGTGAGGTAAAACAACTTTCCCATGCTCACACAACAGGAACTTAAACCTGTGTTCTCTTTGACTCCGTGTTCCTGTTCTTTCTCCCCACTTCCCTCTCAATGTATTGCTACTGACTGACCTCATTGCAAAGAGCTTTCACAGGTGTTTGTTTTCTCTTCTGGGCTTTATAATCCCGAGGAGTAGGGAGGACAGATATTATTACTTATTTTACAGGTTTGTAATCAGAGAGGAATCGGAGAACATTAAAAATGGGACTTAACTTTATAGCTCATCTAGGCCAGAGTTGCATTCCCTGCCTGTAGAAAGCAGGGCCAGTTGATTTCTTTTGTGGAGGTTAGGGAAGACCTCAGAATCCTCCTCAGCTATTGTTTCAGGCAGCAACCAATCAAAAGGAGATAGTATGTGAGGTGAAGCCTGCCAGCCAGGCCTGATCTAGTCTAATCTCCTAGCTTTACATGTGAGGAAACCCCCATACAGAAATTCAGCCTTCCACTGGGTCTCAGTCAGTTCCTCTAACAGTGGAGATTCCAGCCTGCATGTACTGATCCCCACCACAATCCTGTCCTACCACTAGATTCCCTCTCTCATGATGATTAAAATCAGCCCAGGGACCAGGCAAGAAGCTTCATACAGGGCCATTGTAATTAACCTCTGGAAGGTAGGACTGCACAGATGACACTGTGGGGACACAGGGAGGGAGCAAGTGCCACAGTCTGCTTTCAGATGCTCCTCAGAACAACATCCCAACATCATTCTTTTCTGTTCTGCACAGTTGTTCAAAGGAAATATAAAGGTCCGGAATTCTACGACAGTGGCAGTTCTCTCCAGGAAGGAGCTTGAAAGAAAAATGGCCATAGAAATTTTCATCATACTCAGTCACAAATGGTCCTGCCCAAGGTACCACAGCTGGCCAGTGGCAGAAGTGGTCTAATCCCTGACACATCCTGTGGAGTTCTGTCCCCCCACCAAGCTATCTCCCTCTTCAAGGCTCTGCTAATTCCCCTTCCCTTTTCCTCCCCTTTCCCCTCCCCTCTTCCTTTCATCTTGTCTTGTTTTTTCTGTTCTCTCTGGTAAGAATGTTAGTCCTGGTTTTGATGCAGTTTGCCGAATTTATGAAAGATTGCTGTAGTCACTTGTATTAGAAACACCTGGGGTATTCATTAGGCTGCTTTCTGACTCAAGACCTTCTGAATAAGAATCAATGGGACTGTGGCCCCAAATGATTCTGAGACCTACTGAAGGGTGAGACCCCACTGCTGTACTGCCTGCCCCCCACCCCACCCTTTTTCTCTAAAGGTTCTTGACACTAGAGAGTCCCATATGCCATGCCTGCTGCTGGCATTTGGTGTGAATGAAGGGGTTATGAACCCACTGGATATGAAGAACTGTCTGTTACAGAGCACGAGGCTGGAGTCCAGCAGGGCCGTTTGTGACTGAGTATGATGAAAATTTCTATGGCCATTTTTCTTTCAAGCTCCTTCCTGGAGAGAACTGCCACTGTTGTAGAATTCCAGACCTTTATATTTCTTTTGAACAACTGGGCAGAAAGAAAAGGATGATGTTGGGGTGTCGTTCTGTTTTGAGGAGCATCTGAAAGCAGGCTGTGGCACTTGCTCCCTCTCTGTGTCCCCACAGTGTCATTTGTGCAGTCCTACCTTCCAGAGGTTAATTACAATGGCCCTGAATAAAGAAGCTTCTTGCCTGGTCCCTGAGCTGATTTTAATTACCATCCTTCACCTGTGTGAATAGAGGAGACAGACAGAGGAACAGCTAGCCTGGCTGCTGCTTGTAAAATGTACTCAGAAACAGAAGTTCCCACAAAACCCCCTTTTGTGTATTCCATGTTGCCAAGCCCACCAGCAAAAGCTGGATCTTGCAGATTTTATTGTTTGGAGAAAAACAGTTTGTCCCCAGTCTGGGGAGCCATTAGGTAGCTGCTATCAAGGGTTTTCCTGTTATTTTATTTAGTATTTTACTATTAATATTACTATCTTAAGATTTTGACTTGTAGCTTTATACTGGTGGGACTGGTATGAATCATAAACAACTGAACATTTCTGGACTCCGGTATATTACTGGCTTGTCTGCAACGAGTCAGGAGCCATCAGTAAATATCAGAGGTCAGAGCAGGTGGGTGGTCTTTCAGTTATTTTTTTCAATCCCTTTTGCTGCATTCAGGAAGAAATTTGATCTAAGAATTCTCAATATTACAAGGGTTGGATTGTCTTTGTAGTTTTAATTTGGGGCCAATATCAGAGGCCTGGAATTGCATGAGCAGAGGCTAGAGGGCATGTAGCAGAATTTATTATGGTGTGCAGTTTGTGGTTATTGCCTGGTCTTTTTCCCAGTTGGAAGTCCTAAGCAATAGAATAGCACATTTGTGGGGAAAGAGTGCTGTCCTGGCATTCTTAGGGATCTTGGGGGTTTTAAAATTTGGTTCATAGCCACTGCTGTTACTTACGCAAAAGGCGAATATTTGTTCTTTGTAACAAGTTGGTTTGGTAGCCTGGAAAATAGACTCTTTTCTGAAGAGTAGTGAATGCAAGGATGTATTGCTTTGATAGCAGTTCTCTGGCATAGCTCTCTAAAGAAGACTTTGCGCTCATTGGGAATAGTGATCAGATTGCATTTGCTTTTCTACGTACTGTTCCCAAAATTTGTCATGTGCTTGGCAGTTCCATGCCTTTGCTCACGCTCTGCCTTCAGGTTGGAATGCCCTTGCTTCTCCTGGGCTACCTGGAATATTCCTACTCATCCTTTAAAGCCTAGCTCAAACTTTATCTTCTTTCTTTTGAGTTTTTTTCACACTCATCACTTCAGTAGAATTTGTGTTCCCTAGCACTTTGTGCATTCTGGCACTTGTCAGAAGGATTGTAGACATCTGTTTATAAGCTTGCTTTTGCTGAGTTGTGATCCCTGTCAAGAGAGTGGTCAAAGTGATGGCTCTATCACTTACCAACTGTGTGTCCTTGGGAAAGTCACCTAACCTCTTTGTACTCAGTTTCTTCTTCTGTAAAATGGGGATAACAATAGTATCTATCACATAGAGCTGAAGTAAGAAATAAATAAGGTATTTAAATAAGTCTTTAGAACAGTGCCTGGCACAGAGTAAACACCCAGTAAATGTTGGCCGTTATTGTTGTAAAGGTATTGTGCCTGGGATATAGCAAGTACTTTGTAAATGTCAAGTTAAAATTATATGTATCAGCTGCCACAAAGTGAGCTATTTGTGAACAATTATTTCAACAAATGTTTTTTGAGTATTGTGTATATAACATGAGACAGCTACTTCAAAGGGTGCAGGCCTAAATAAAACATGGGAAGATAGGAGTTTAGTTTTTTTATTTAAAAGGATGAAATAAGAAGTGATGGTAACAGAAGGCAACATACTGAGAATGGCTGTGAGAGATGCAAGCTTCTGTGGAAATTAGAAGGAAGTGATCACCTCTGATGGGGAAAAATCAAGGACTGTAGCGCTCCAGTGTCAGCAGTGGCTTCTGAAGGAAGGCTTTACTACAAAGGCGTGTGGTGGTATGGTTGGGCCATGAAGCTGGCCAGAGTGATGAGGAGGCCTTCAAGCACTGTCACACATGGGGACACTGGAGTCCAGAGGTCCCGGTACGACTCAGGCTAGATTTAGGTGAAGATGTTTCTAGAAAAGGAAACTTAAGACCAAAAAAGAATAATACCAAGGATTTTGTAAGGAAATATTGTATTATGTTAATACATGCCATTAGAAGGAATAAGGGTCTGTGGAGAAGAAGAAAAGTGTTGCTGTTGGGAAGACAAGACTAGTGGTTTAGAATGTAGAAAGATTCTATAGAAACTGAATTTTGCTGTAGAATTTCATGAAAGTAACTGAGTTGTGGAGAGCCAGGGGACCACCACTCCATACCATTCTTGCCCCCAATTAACCCTACTTAAACACTAAACTTTGAAGCCCCGTGTCAGCTTGGCAGGGTGTGGTTGGCGAAGCATCTGTGCTGCTCTTAGGTTAGGGTCCAAGTGAGGCTGAGGTTAGCTGTGTTATGTTGCTGTAAGGGTACTTACTATGTAAATTTCTGGATCCTATCATTTTTATCTCTTCCCATTTCCATTAATGTTCTTCACCTTCATCTCTATTTGTTCCCAAGCAAAATTCATTTGTTCATTCATTCACTAAATGTTTATTGAGGGCTTAGTATGTTCCAGATTCTAGGAACTAGGTATATAGCAGTGAACAAGACTGACAAAATCTTTGCTTTTATGGAGCTCATATTCTAATGTAGGGAGAAACAGTAAATAAGTAAACAAAAAAACTATCAGGTAGTTGTTCTCTGTTATGCGGAGAATTAAAATACAAAAAAAAAAAAAAAAACCCAAACCCATTGCTGTGGAGTCGATTCCAACTTATAGCGACCCTATAGAACAGAGTAAAAACTGCCCAATAGACTTTCCAAGGCTGTAACGTTTATGGAAGCAGATTGCCACATCTTTCTCCCACAGAGCCCTTGGTAGGTTCGAACTGCCAACCTCCTGCTTAGCAGCTGAGTGCTTAACCACTGTGGTACCAGGGCTCCTGAGAATTAAAATAGTGATGTGATATAGAGAGACTGAGAAATCGCATTAGATACAAAAGGCCTGAGTTCTGATGACAAGAAGAAACCAGCCATTCAGAGTGATTAAGGGCAAGATGGGACAAGTGCAAGGCAGGAATGAGCTTGGCATATTTGAGGAACAGAAAAAAGGGCAGTACTATCAGTGCTGCTGGTCCGAGGAGGAAGAGCAAAGTTGGGGCCAGTTCATGCTGGGCTTTGTAGACCTTAGTAAGACGTTTGGGTGGATTCCCAGTGTGAAGGGCAGTAATTCTGGAGGATTGTAAGCAAGGGAGTAGTGACGTGATCTGACGTAACATTTTAAAAAGACCACTCTGACAGCTGTGTGGATAATGGATCAGAGGGGCAAGAGTAGAAGCAGTGGGACAAGTTAGGAGGCTTTTGTAGGCATCCAGATGAGATGTGATGGTGGCCTGGACTAGAGTGGTAATGTGGAAGTGGACAGAGGAGATGGGTTTGAGATACGTTTTGGAGGTAGAGTGTAGGGACTTATTAACGGTTTGGATCTGAGAGGTAAAGAAAGGAGTCAGGAAGACCCAAGGTTTATGGCTTGAGCAAGTGGATGGAAGTTGATACCGTTTGGTGAGATGTGGGAAGCTGGGGAAGAAGCCATATTAAGTTTGTGATTCTTGTTAGATATGTAGGTAGAGATGCCAGCTTTCAAAATTGCCCCTTTACTGATAAAATATTGTGATAGGTTGCAAACAGGCATACGTTTTACATTATAACCATATTACCATACATATTCTCCAAACTTATTGCTTGATCAAGATTCAGTGGGGTGGGTTTAAAAAAAATTTTTTTTTTAATATGAAATTTCTGGAACTCCTAGTAAGTAGAAAAACTAACTCTTAAGAAAGCTTATTGGCAGATTGTACCAGAGAGAAATAGAAAAAGAATCACTCCTTCAAAGCCCTTGTCTTTTTTTTTTCCCCCTTCTCTTTTGTATCCCTCCTCTTTGGTCAAGTAGGAAAGGCTGTCTGATCATGCCCTTGAACTTCGTCTTAGTAAGACCTGCTGGAATATTGTTTAGGAGACCTGCTAACAAGCAGAAATAACCAGTGACTTCTCAGAAAATGTCAGCTTTCATACAGTCCCCATTTCCAAGGCCAGGTTCCTTTCTCTGACTGGTGCTTTAATCCCTAAGCAGGATTTGTTTTTAGTATCAGACTTTATCACAGGCCCAAAAAATAGGCATGAAGGTCGACCCAGGGGTTAGAAGGAGTAGAATAGAATGCTAATTTGTGCTTCTTACTAGGCAATATCCAGAGCTATGCATAATAGAAATATTTTTCCAAGGGTTTTCTTAGCTAAATGTATTTTGACTGCTTTTGGCCCTCCTGCAATCAGATAAAATTACATTTAGCCCAGCTAAACATAAAATTTCATGCTTTGCAAACTTAAAAAAGCTGCCTGTTAGAAGTTAGATTTCTGTAGCAAGAAAAAAGATTTTCCTCTAGCCAGACACCCATTATGTATCTATAACCATTCCACTCTGGGATTTGAGTGTGCTGCTCACCACCATTGTCCCCATCACTTTCCAGACAGCAGAGATGGGAAACATAACTAAGAATTAAGGAAAAGTGAAAATAAATAAATAAAATAATGCAGATAAAGCAGCAGTAAGCAATTGAACTGGTGAAGCAGTTTGCAGAACTGACAAGCAGTGTGGTACCCAGCGGAGTTGTAGTGTCTGCTGTGTTAGGATTCAGGAAGATTATAAGTCAATCAGGGTGATTTAGGGAAAAACAAACTGTGACATGGTTCATATTTTCCCGCAGATGTTTTTCCATTTTTGCTCACATACTCAAATTGTCCAGTTAATTAAGGAAAACTTTGCAGTGGATTTCTTTGGTGAAGCTTTTGCTGGTTGTGAGATTTGAGAGCAAGATTGTGTATTTCTTGATGTAAGAAAGGAAAACAACTCTCGCTTTTATTTATGGGCTCTCTCATCTCTGGCATTAGAATCCCTTCAGATACGCCGCTAGCCTGTCTTTCCTTGTTCCTCACACCAGGCGTAAAGGAGAGCCCTGAAAAATCTTAATTTATTTGTAATTCATCTATTGCAAATTAGTTAATAGTTCCAGCTTTGTCCCTTGTCCATATGCTTCCCCTGAGTCTCACCTAGAAAACAGTAAAGAGGCCTTATTTCAAGATCTGTCCCTTTTGGCCATTGCTTCTGTCCTTACGCTGAGTTTGAATTGTGTCAGACGGCCTTACACACAGATGCTCAGGAAGTGTCAGTTGAGTGAGATCACTTCCTTCTCTCCCCTTCTCCTTTTTCCCATCACTGAAGTGATAGGGTTTAATGGGAAAAAAAATGGAGTTTTGGAGTTGGTCACCTCTGCCACCAGCTTTGTGACTTTAGCCAAGTTAATTAACACTTCTGAATCTTTGTTGTCTCACTTGTAAGAACTGTGAGGATTACATGAGGGTAAATGGAGCAATATATATAAAGAGCCAGTTATAATGCACGATGTAAGTGTTCTGTCCATTTATTTAAATTTAGCAAAATTTACTGAGTGTCTGCTGTGTGTAGCACTGCACTAGACTTTGAAGGGCATACCAGAATGAATGAGGTAAGGTACCTGCCTTGTGTGTTTTGAACAGTTGCCATGAACCAGAACCAGGGTAAGGCATGTCACATATTTTCATTTAATCTTTGCAACTTATTCCCATTTCTTAAGTGAGGAAACTGAGGCACTGAGAGAGAGGATGCACCATGAGTATGCAGCAGACTTTATCTTCAGATATAAGTTTAGTAGAAATCTACTGCCAAGTAGATACACTTCTTGATAGAAGATTAGGTGTTTCCTTAGTTATACCTCCTTTGTTGTGCCTCACGGTTACCTGGGGGCAGTCTCCTTAAGAACACAAAGCGTGCACAGAAAGTAGCATGAAGTAGTAAAAGCATTATTTCACATAAGAGGACAAAAGCCTGGTTTTAGCTTTTGCTCCCAGTGTTCAGTAGCTGTGTGGTCTTGGCTAAGCCATGACCTTCTTGAATATCAACTGTATTATGTGGCTACTGATAGTCTACTATTATCTCAGTGTTGTGTGAATCAGGTTAAGTAAGAGAAATACAATTGCTTTGTAATGCATTAAATGCAATACAAATATAAGGCATTTTATCATGTTAATATCATCCTTTTCAAGACAGAATTAGAAATGCTTCGGAAGTAATCATTTTATAAAAGCTTCGCATGGAAAGTTAGGAAAGTTTTGAGTTTAACTCTTTAAATTCTGAGGTCAGTGTAAAGCACGGCTAGTAAACTTTCCACCTTAACATTTCTTTCTGCTATGGACTAGAAACGTATTTTTGATTTGAATGAACTGTTGGTGTGACTTAAGATGGCATTTTTTTAAAGGTGTTTAAGTATCGCAAAGAAGTAGAGCACTGTACTTGGTTTCAGAGGGCTTAGGTTCAAGTGTTAGCACTGTTCCTCACTTACTTTGTGACCTTGAATTTTACTGTCTTAAGCTTAGATTTACTCATCTTAAATTAGGGATCATGATGCCTGCACTTTCCTTGCCTCAGGGTCACTTTAAGGCTCAAAAGAGATAATGGGATGGGTGAGCACATTATAAACTGTAGATTGCTGAAATTTATTTACTTTATTCATTGAAATAGTAGAGAAGTAGGTATGGGAGTAGGAACATTTGGGGGCTGTTTTGTAATGTTTATCCCTCTCTCCTTTTGCTTCCCTGTTCCTGAAGGTGGACGGGCAAGTGGTGGCACTGCTGGTGCAGAATTTGGAGCGCCTGGATGAATCTGTGAAAGAAGAGGCAAATGGTGTCCACAACACTCTCGGTGAGGGGAAGGGTGCCTGGCGTATCCAAGTTTCTTTGTGCTTGTTTTGGGGCTGGGTGATCATTTCCCTTCCTGCTTCATAACAGAGTCAACAGCAGTGTGTTTTCTTTCTGTCTGTTCCCAAACTGCCTTTTCAGAAATGAAGACCCTTGTGTAAATTTCATATAACTGCAGCTTTGGTTTGGCTTGCAGGTAATAAAAGCACTAAGTAGGTAACCTTCTAGGCAAAAATCACTGGCTCCTTTTAACAGGACTTTGCAGGTAGAATTTTTTTTTTTTTTTTTTTTCTTTTCTTTGGAAAATGTATATTTTACAATTTTTAATCCCCTAATGTTAATTTTTCTTCCCACTTTCCTTCAGTGGAACTACAAACTTTTGAATAACTGTACCTTTGTAGGACATTTTATTTGAAAGAGAGTCAGTGTTTGTTTTCTTATGTATAGTTTGCTGTGTAAAGTGTGAGTTGAAATATTGCTATTAACTTGGCTGCCCCTTAACTTGGCTGCCCCTTCAGCATATGTTCATTTAAGTGGATTCTCTGCAGTATTCTCCTCCTCCTCCTCTAATTTCCCCAGTCCTTCCCTTGCAAAGTTGCCAAACCAATAGCCTATTTAAAACTGTGCTTTTGGGTAGTCTTCTTTATCACTGGTTGCTGTCTTATAAAACCAGAGGTGACATATCTGTAAGCAGAGTTTGAGAAATGAGCAAGGCCCAGTGGAAGCAGAAATTTTGATGAGATGAGATTTTCTCTCTGCTGTTTTGTGTTTACCACAGATTTCTCTTGTAGTTCTAGACTCTTTTCAATGAAGATTATCATAAAGAAAGGGGAAGATGTAGTACCTAGGGAGTAAGAAAAGAGAGAGCACAACAATCTGTAATATGGGAGTTGGCTCTAGTTGTTTGGAGCCAGAATTTGGCATAGCTATATGTTAGCCTGATGCTGGATTTTGCTGAAAGAAAGCTTATCAAAGTCTTAACTGACTTAATAAAAAAGAAAGGCCTGATGTAATGGAAAAAATCACCAGACTAGCAGCCTACAGAGGTCTCTTTTCATGTCACGTTGGTCACCTGCCAACAGCTCAGGAGACCCGTCTCACGCTCCCTTACTGAGTGCCTAAGGTTTGTTAGACACTGTACTAGGCACTGGGGTAGATTAAAGATGAATTAGATATGGTTCTACTCTTTAAGAGGGAGACTGATGGAAAAGTCTTGGACAGAAAGGAAAGAGAATACAGGGTGATACATGGTATACCTGGAGTCAGTGAAAAGCCCAGTGGAAATAGAGAGGAGGGATCTCCAAATTGCTGCATAGGAGCAGGTAGCCGATTGGAGCTGAATGTGAAGACAGGTGCATTTTGAGAAGGGGAGAAGTGTGAAAAGGGCCCTTGGGCAGGGAGTATCATCTGCAAATCCTGGGTGCCATGAATGGGCATGGGCTTTGAGGAAAGGTTAGAAATGAACTGTGGCTGGTGGGATTGGTGGGAGATAGGGCTGGAGGAGTAAGTTTGTCCAGCTTATAGAAGACAAGAAGTTTGGATTTTATTCTAGTGGGCAACAGGAAACCATCTAAAGTTTGAGGAGAATTGTAAAATAAGATAAAGGCATAGGAGTTTAAAATGAATGAGATGATTTTCTTAGAAAATTTGAGAAAGTAATTTAGGGTATTATAATGATCCTCATCTGTCAAGGATCTCCTCACTGCTCCTCTGCCCAGTCATTCGTTAACTTGCCATTGGCAAGGCTGACATGGGTGAAGGAGTGAGGAAGAAGGTAGGAAGTGTGGTGATTTCTTCAGCCCATTCTCCTTCAAAACTCAGACCTGACGTGTTCTGAGCATGGTGCTCAGAGAACACAGAACTGTGTCTTCTTTGTGATAGTAATATATCCTAGGATGTGGAGCAGAAGGTGCCCTGAAGGAAATGAAAGCATTTGATGTGTTAGGATGAAACCATAGGTGATTTCTTTCTTATGCCCCTCTTTTTAGTATCATAGTCATGCAACAGCATTTTTGGTTTGTCTTTTCTTGCCTCTTATTTTTAAATTTTTCTGTTAAGCAGCACTTTGGCTCTTGTAGGAGATAGCAGGACCATATTTGTTTCTGAGTACCTGGCGGTCACCTCAGCCAGCATGGCCTGTCTCTTCTGTGCACATTGTTTTGTTCAATTAAAAAGACCTTGCTTGCCTCCCTTGCAATATCCTTGCTTCTATATGATGCAGAGAAAGAGAACTGAAAGTAGGATGAATCAGGAAAGAAATAGAGCAACTCACAGCAACGGTTTTTTTGGGGTTTGCTTTTTTCCTAAGGTTTCTTTGTCTTTAGTTACAGGTCTCTGGGACTCTAGTACATTGGGGACTAAGAGGGCCTTCTTAGGCAGATATCCACCCTTTTGTGCGTTCTGGTTTTCTTCCCTGTCAGCACAGAAATTTACTACGTATTCCTTATGTGACTTCCATCAGTTCCAGTTATGAGTTTTACTTGTAAAATGTAACATAACTTGAAGGAAAAAAAAAAACACAGCAATTCCCTGGCTAATCTAAAAATGACAACACAGCATCTGGCTGGGAGGGATACAGGGAAATGGGTAGAGGAATACAGTGCATGTCATGGGAAGAAAGCTTGTTGCAGCTGGAAACAAAGTGGCCCTCCTAAATAATTGATGTCTGTCTCCCTTCAGCTATTGTGGAAAACATGGCTGAATTCCGGCCTGAGATGTGTACAGAGGCGGCCCAGCAGGGGCTTCTGCAGTGGCTGCTGAAGAGGCTGAAGGTAAGCTGGACTTTGTGGGACTGCAGTGCAAACCTCTTTGCTCTGGATGTGGCTCATCCCGGGCCATATGGTCTAGTTTTGGAATCTTTTGGCACCCCTTAACTCTTACTTTGCTTCTCTGTTTTTGTTTGTTTGTTTTAAAGGAAGGGATTTTTAAAATAGCCTTTAGTATTTCTGAAAATAATATAAACATGTTGTAAATACAAACAAATTCATATGCTACGGAAGGTATAAAAGTGAAAGTAGAAGTTCCCCTCTTCTGACCCCTTCCAGTTCTACTTCCCAGAGCCGGGCGCTGTTGATATATTATCTATCCTTTCAGAAGTTTTCTGTGCGTATAGCAGAGTGTGTTTGTGTGTGTGTGTTTGACAAACAGAGTTATACAATGCTTTTTGCAACTTGGTTTTTACACTGAACTAATGGCTGCCTAGTATTCCATTATCTGGATGTACCAAAATTCATTTAACAGTTTCCCAGTTTATAATAGTTTTTCACTGTCATAAATAATGCTGCAGTGAATATCCTTGTATATACACACACTGTTTTTTCTTGCACAGTTGTCTAATTTACCTGTAGGATAAATTCCTAGAAGTGAAATTGGTAGGTCAGAGAGTATGCATATTGAAATTTTTGGTAATATTGAAAAATTTTCCTCCAAAAGGCCAATTTGAGAGTGTCTAGTTCCTTCTACACCTAGCAACATTGGGTATTATCAAACTTTTCAAATTTTGTTAGTCTGATAACAGAAAACTGTTATTTTAATTTGGAATTCTAAAATCCAATAAAGTATATTGGCTTCTAGCTGTTTATTTGCCGTTTGTATTCATACATAAAGGTCACCATGAGTTGGAGCCGACTCCCCGGCAACCAACAACAATTCATCTTTATTGGCTTCCTTCCTTCATCCATTTTTCTGTACGGTTGTTCATCCTCTTCTTAGTATAATCCTTTCGATCATCCTTTTAACCATTAATGCTGTACCACAGGGTAAACGAGGAAAGGGAGAGGCAAGAGCTTTTCCCAGAATAGTTTTAACCAAACGTATGATGGGAGGCAGTTTGGAACTGCTTATATGCTACTGAAATGGTTCTGGGGCAGGCAAGGATTCCTAGCATTTTAGTTAGAAGGAGACACTTGTTTGTAGCTAGAGTGATTCTCTAAGCAGTCTTGGCTTGCTGGACTTCAGAGTGTCATAGAGATCCAGAAAGTCTGATGTGTATCAAGTTATATTTTTCCCCATTATTGTAGCAGGGCCAGGAGAAGGCTCTGTAGTACTACCTAAGATATCATATGTCCTACAGTTCTCTCCCTTTCTGACAGCCTAGGTCTTCCCCAGTCTCACTTATTGAGCCATCTTTTTCCATGAAATCTGTAACATGGATTTGTATAACGTATTGACTGGGGGATACTCAGCTAGCCCAAATATTACTATCAGTGGATATGGGCACACTTGCCTGGCAGTCTGAACCTGATGCATAGTTCAGTGAACTGTAGGCCCCCCGCCCCTTTCCACTCAGTCCCACGGTTAACTGGTGATTAATTCATGCACTGTCATCTTTGCAACTTCCTTTTGACCTCCTCTCGTCAGTCTAGATGTCCTTTGGTTTTGGAACTGGACTTCTTTTCCCATGTAATTCCCTTCACGTTGCCTAAGCAGAGTTTCCTCTTTCCTCCTGCTTAACACGTCTTTTATTATCCAAACCCTTAAGATATTTTGGGAGTGAGGAGTGGAGGAGAAGAAAGTAGAACACAGAGTTTTTAGGGGAATAGGATATTTTAGGGAAGAGGATACATGGCAGGGACCTGAGTTGTTGGTGGGGTGGCCACAGGTTTGGACTCCAGCTTTAAAATATACAAAATAATCCAATAGTTTTTGTATCTGTGAAGTCAGGACAAATTTTTCTCAGTTACTTGAGACTGGATACTAATTCAAGGATCCCTCAAGGATCCTTCATTAAACCAGAATGTAAAACCTCTTCTGCCTTTTGAAGGATGTTAAAACTTGCCAAAGTCTTCAGAATTTAACTGAATTCTTTTGGAATTGCTAACATAGGGAAGGATATTGAGACCTTTGGATGTTTGGCTTGGATTCCATTACCCTTAATGATTGTAATAGAGCAGGTCCGTTGATAGTCTGCCAAGCTATTGACTCTTGCCTTTTAGGCATAGAGTTTGCTGTCTCTAAAATGATTTTTTAAGGTTCCGAGGTATTTAAACATTAAAATGCTATTTGGTTATCTTACTAGTAAGTGAGTGCCCTTAGAAATGCTCTGCCCAGAACATTAATGAAAGAAAGCCCTCCTTGAGGGTGAAGCCAGCAAGGAAGCATGACTTAGAAAGCAGTGCCTTGCTTTTATTTCTCATAATCTGGGAAAGTACTTGTGATAATCTTGACTATCATAAACACTGTGGTGCAGCAGAGAGAATGCTGAACCTGGATCTTGACTTTTCCCCTTATTAGCTGTATAACTGTAGGCAGTGGTCCCTTAACTTGTCTAAGATCATATTCCCTGCCTTTCTAGTCTCAAAGGGTTATTGTGAAGTTCAAATGTGGCAATACTTTTTAATTGTAAAGGTCTGTATAGCAGTGGGTTTCAGCTGGGGTTTGTATCAGGATCACCTGTGGAGCTTTAAAAAAAATACAGATTCCCAAATCCTATCCCAGGCCTACTATCCCAGTCTCTGGTGCTGGTATATTTTAGAAAAGTCCCACATGTGATTCCCAGACTGATTTAAAATTCCATTTTCAGTATGCCATTCGCTATTCCAGAACCCACCTACGGCGATGCTAAATGCCCTCGACATCAGATCTCACCTTCTCTGCCTGTTTTTAAAGCCCCCTTAACCTGGCCCGGTCTGACCCCTCCACTTCTCAAAATTTTGAAACATTGGCCTTAGAACCTTTCTGACATCCCTTTTACCTGCCCCCTGCTCTGCAAAAGTCACAATTATTTTAACCTCCCTGTCTGTCTTTGCTCATGCCACTCCCCCACCAGGAATGACTCTTTTCTTCCTATTTCTAAATTATACACAACCTTCATGAGCCAGCTGAAATCCCTACTCTGCCGTGTGCCCTCTATCATTTGGCATAGAAGTTTAGAACTGAAAGGAAAATTATAGGTTTTATTATAGATAAAAAATTAAAAATTGAGACCTGGATTAAGTGCCTTCCCGAACGCATACAGCTAGATAGATATAGAGCTAGGATTAAAGCCCAAGCCTCTGGAAGTTTCCTCATGTACCCTTTCCACAGTACCTCTTTGCCCCAGCCTATACTGCCCTCTTTCTTTTCTGAAAATCAACCACTTCATTTTTTCCTAATGGTTCTCTTGTGGCAGTTAGTAGATGTGGGTTCACATATGTACTACTGTATCTGTGACTGTGACACCCTCTTGGAGCATCTCTTCTTCATCTGTAAAGTGGTGATAATACCATCACCTGGCAGGCCTTCATATTATTATGTGTGCCTCCCCCCCCAAAAAAATTCTTAAATTCCTTGAGAGCAAAGACTGTTTCAATCATATTTGCACCTCCTCGCAATGGTTCTGAAAGTGTGTTTCCTGGGCCAGCAGCATCAGCATCACCTGGCAGCTTGTTAGAAATGCATGTTTGGGGGCCTACCCTAGACCTGCTAATTCCATAAAGTGGGGGTGAGTGCAGGATTCTGTATTTTGACAGGCCCTCCAGGTGATTCTGGTGCATGGTAAGACTGAGAACCGCTGTCCTAGAGTGCTTGTGTCTAGCTTGCTTAATAACTGATTATCGCATATTTATTCAATAATCCTTGAGTAATTAAGTGTGCAGCATACTGGTGACAGGCATTTTAGTCTTGTATTTCTCCCTTTTGTACTGGGAGTCTAGCAGTATGTAGACATACTCTTGGGTATCTTCATCCACCAAAGGAAACCTCACTGATTTATTCTAATAAGGGAGAAACCCATAGCAGATGATTGTATTAAATGGATTAACAGGTAAGCAAACAGCAGTAGTGTGAGAGGCACTGCATCACCATTCATTTTTTATGGGGAATACCAACTTATTAGGATATTGTGTGCTATTGAAAATATAACAACAAAACCGAAACAACTTTATTTTTCTTTTCTAAAGAAAGAAAATTACATTTCTCCCCTTCCCAGTTAAATTGATGCTTCAGAACTATTGGAATGTTCAGCATATAAGTTAATGAATTGAGAACTGGCTAAATTATGCTACATGTACAACTGGTTGATGCTAAGTCCTTAGCCTCTTATGATCAGAGGTTGGGGATTTGCAAGGCATAATCTCTTTTGACTGTTGTACAGGGCTATGGATGTGTCTGAACTTGCCCCATGTGTTCCAGGTACCAGAGATGAGCTGCAGAAATAACCTGTAGTTTCTGGCTGCAGGTGGTAGCATAATTGTTTTGTACTTTCCAAAAAAGCAGCAGCTCCCCAAAAGGTGAAGTTTAATTTTATTCAAGGCTAGTACATGCTGAGTACAAACCTAGGCTTGACTCTGCAATTACTCCAGCAACTGAAAGACTTAGGATTGCCAGGCTCCTATATAGAAGAGAGCCCCACAAGTTCCAAGACCCAGTTGTTAGCTTTGCAGACTCCAAGAGACTGTACCTGTCAAACGAATTCTACTTTCTCCTGATTTTGACTGAATGTCTTTGTAACCTGGCAATTTGGTGTTGTGCAAGCTTGTAGGTGGTCATCTCTGGCTGAGATTTAAACAGAAATAAAATTTCCTTAGTGACCTTTGTCTTTAGCAAGACGTGGAAGATGATTCTTGTCCATTCCCACCTGGTCTAGTTTCTTTTATTTGTTTTCCACTGGTCTAAAATACTTGGTTGTCATCGTCATCACTTAAGTTTTTCCCCTCTGATATGAGTTTCATATATGGACTCCCACTGTGTGCAGAGTGTTGTTCTTGTTGCCTTCCATAGGTTAATTCTAGTTCTCACAAAACACCCATGTAAAGTGGGTGCTGCTATCCCCAGTTTACAGATGAGGAAAGAATCCCAGAGAGGGGAAATACCATGTCCAAACCACATGGCAAGTATGTGGGAAAGCCTGTGAGAGTCAGTCCAGGGTATCTCCTCCCCCTCTTGCCAAGCTGCTTCGTATCTGGCATCCCATCCCTCTCATTCTGAGGCATTGCAGGACTCAGTATTTGGGGGTCACCGGGCCTAATCTTTCTGTTTCCTGATTAGATTCCTCCTGCATGCCAATTTTTCAGTCAGAGGGCTTATATTGTGCAAAAAAAAAAAAAAAAAAAAGTGATGAGATTATGATCTTGATTTAAAGAAATTTGCTTTGGGCATAATTGAAAACTCAAGTGTCACATGGCAAAAGTTGGAGATTTCGTAGGGGAACCAGGAATTTTCAATAGGGGAAATTCAACTGTTGGGAGACTGTTATGTGTAAATGGTTCATTTAATACAACAACCTCATGAGGAAGGTAATATTTATTCTCATTGACATAAGAGGAATCTGGTTAGAGAGTTAGAGTAATTTGGCCAAGATCACATAGTGGGTAACTATTAAAACTGAGATTCTAATCCAGATATTTCTGATTCCAGTTATCAAAAAAAACTTTCAGTTCCTGCTGTATGCTAGGTGCTTCCCTATTATCTTATTTAATTTTCATGGTAACTCTCCAAAGAAGGTGTTATTGTATTATTTCCACTTTATAGCTGAGGAAACTGAGACTAAGAAATACTACAGTACTTAGGTTGTAGATTCCCAGACATTCTCAGTTCATGGTGCTCTTAGTGCCTCAGTCATTTTGTTTTTACAGCACCTGTATGCCAAAACATACCTAACAGTCCCATTTATTAAGTAGCTTAATAAGTATTTACATCTTAATAATTTGGTAGCCATTTGAAAAAAATAATACACATAAATTGAAAGAAACAATATTTTTATTTCCTTCTTAAATTCCACAATTACTAATAATGGATTTGTGCTTTTTTGGTACTCCACAACTTCTCAGACTTCAGCCTCAGACTGAACATCACCTCCCTTATTCCTGTTCTTCACTGACTTTCACACAGTTCTCTTATGACAGCGGCCACCAAAACCCAGCTTCACAAAGATATGATGTCATCAGGAGAAATGTACCTCAAACTAGTAATTAGTTCAGTGTTCAACAGATGTCAAGTGTGCCATGATTTCCTCAAAAATTTAGAATATCCTGCAGTGCCTTTATCAGTTTGTTACGACACCCCGGGTACCACGGCACACAGGTTGAGAACGGTTGAGTTAGGGCCACGTAGTGAGAAGCTCATGAGTCAAACCTGCGTGTGTCTGATCCAAGGTCCATGTCCTTTAAAAAAAAAAAACAAACCACTTGATTGTACAACTTAATTAAATTAATTTTAATTCAGTGTAAAACTTTTACATGCCTTAACAGTAGACAGACATCATATCTAATTCTTCTCTGTTTCCTGTGGTGCTGAATTCTGTGTCTTGCATATAGCACGTGCCCAACAAATAATATGTTGAAAGAAAGAGAAGTCTCCCTCATACTTTGGAGACAGAAGTTTATAAAACCAAAAAAAGGATAAGAGACATAGGAATCACAGAAAAACCATTGTTCTAGTTGTCTGATGTCTTTTGGCTTCTTCCATTTAAATGTATCATGTTTCAAACAAAAACCCCGGCACTTGAAAAGCTGCGTAGAAGTTGGTTGTGGCTTAAATCATTTAAAATATAGTAGCAATATATGAAACTTAAATAATTTGAGTAAGTAATTTCATTAGCAAAATCCCTGATTCTGATGGAGAATCTCCCCGAGCTTTTCCTCTTCGTGTTTTGATTTTTGTAAAACAGTTTTTCTTAAAGTGAAACACATCACAGATTGCATTTAAGCTTTGGTTGTTATACTGGTTTCTTAGAACAAGGCCTCAAGCTTGCCTAGGGAGCATACCTTGCAGTCAGCACACGTAAGACCTTCCATTTACAGATCTTTTAACCTAAGATGGGTTATACCTGGTCAGCCTTCTAAAACCCTGTGGGGTGCACTTCGGCTTGACGAGGAAGATGTGCACAGAAAAGTGAAAAGATGCTGACGTTACTTCATTAGGGGCTGCTCTTCCTTCTTAAGTACAAAATCAATGTCCAAACAGAACTGTGAATGGTGCTAAGGTGATGGAGGTGTTAGCTGCAAGATAAACACGTCTCCTGTCCTTTCTAGGTATAGAAATTATTTGTCATTTCAAAACCCTGGATAGGTAGCAAGGATGCTGCAGATTGACAGTTATTGTCTAGGTGCCTGCATTTTAGAGATCATGGGTACCGTAAATGGAAACACATCCTGAGGCTTGCTCCTCTCTGTGTAGCTTTATTCAACAGACACTGTTGACAGTGAGATATTTGACTCTCAAGACTGAAGCAACACTGTGGATGGCCAGGAAAGATAATCTCTGCAGTAGATGTGGCCACTGTGGAGCTCCCAAGTAGCAGAGCATGCAGCAGGGAAAGAATTGTGGGTAGCAATTTGGGTATTAAAATATTAACACATTTTTGCATATTTAATGTGGTTTCTTTTTTAAATAGTAGGCAGATTATGGCATAGGAACAGACAGGTTTATGATTTCAAATTAATATTTAAGCATTAAAAAAAAATCCAAAACGAACTACTTTGTTATAAATACATTCAGTTAATCTAAACAAAAGATTGCTTTCTTTTCAACTTCTCTGATTGTATACCAGCTAATTTGCAGCCTAATTTTATGATTGTAACTTGTGAAAGAAGCTTCTAGATAAGTTTTAGTGTTAAATTTTCAAAACTTGCAATCATTCATCTAGTCAACATTTGAGTACCTACTGTATGCTGGACAGTAGTCCTGAACTCAAAATGGGGAATCTGGGAAGGCTTCGCAGAGGGGGTGACATTCATACCTGGGCATTGGGAGTCTGAGAGCCATTGTGTTGATCTGACATCTGTGGTTTTGCTAATACAGTAAGTCCTTGGGTTACAAACATCTGACTTAAAGATATAAGTACTTGCCCTTTAATGTTATGTAAACTTACCCTCACTTTGAAATGATTGAACCAACCCCTACTCCCAGCAAATTCTTCATCACAATCACCTTCACTTGCAGCACGTGCAGCTTTTAAATTATTGAAAAGGCTTCAAGCCTTTTCTTACACTAAAACCAAAACCAAACCCACTGCTGTCACCTCATAGCAACCATATAGGACAGAGTAGAACTGCCCTATAGGGTTTCCAAGGCTGTAAATCTTTACGGAAGCCAACTGTCACATCTTTCTCCCGCAAAGCAGCTGGTAGGTTCAAACCACCGACCTTTGATTGGCAGCCGAGCGCTTTAACCACTGTGCCACCAGGACTCCTTTCTTACACTAAAAAGCCATTGCTGTCAAGTCAATTCCAACTCATAGCAATGCTAGAGGACATAGTAGAACTCCCCCATAGAGTTGCCAAGGAGCGGCTGGTGGATTTGAACTGCTAACCTTTTGGTTAGCAGCCGAGCTCTTAACCACCACTATGCCACCGGGGCTCCAGTGTTGCACTAAAAACCAAAACCTGTTGCCGTCGAGTCAATTCCAACTCATAGTGACCCTATAAGACAGAATAGAACTGCCCTATAGGGTTTCCAGGGAGTAGCTGGTGAATTCAAACTGCCGACCTTTTGGTTAGCAGCCAAGCTCTTAACCACTGCGCCCCCAGGGCTCTGTCTTGCACTAAAGTAGGGCTAGATGAGAACTGTATGCACCTGTTCCAACTTACCTACAAATTCTTAAAGACACACTTAGGAACAGATCTCGTTTGTAACCCGGGGACTGCCTGTGTAGTACTTGAGTCCTGTCCCTTGAGAGCAGAAGTAGACTTTTATTTTTTTTAATCCTTAGCCTGCTTTTTTCCCTTTCTAACTTCTTTTTCCCTCTAACTCAGATCCTAGTACTTGTGAAAAATTCATCCTGGGGAAGGAAGCAAGGCCCCTTAACGTTTTTTCTCATTTCTCCCATTTCCCCACAGGCAAAGATGCCTTTTGATGCCAACAAACTGTATTGCAGTGAAGTGCTGGCCATATTGCTCCAGGACAACGATGGTGAGGCTCCCTCTCGGTACTGATATTCTGTTAGAATAGGAGCCAGGCTTGTTTCAGATCATGACAGCAAGCTCTCTTGCCTTTGGCATCCCCTTGCTCTCCCTCGTGCTCTCTGTGCAGCTTTTGTACTCTGTCAAGCTGTATTGATTTTGTTTGCTGATGTATCAGTGTTAGACGGCTGTTAGCTTCATTCTTTTTTCTTCCTCTGTTTTTTTTCCTCTTTTAGAAAACAGGGAATTGCTTGGGGAGCTGGATGGAATCGATGTGCTTCTTCAGCAGTTATCCGTGAGTAACTCTTATGCTTCCTGTCTGCCATGAAGATACATGGCCTGGTTTAAATGGAAGGTGGAGCTGGAAATTGTGGAAAGGAATAAGCCACATGGTGCAAGCAATGTGGAGGTGTGTTGGCAGGTTTGAGGTTACATTGGAGGTGCGTGGTTCGTCTCCTTTTCTTGTCACTTGCTTTTTATGACCAGATGTCACTATATATATCTGGTATGGACTTTCTCCATCTTCTGATAGGATATTTGTCAGTCTCAGAGAGGTGTGCTTCCTGCCTAAGTATATGTTCTTGGGCCAAAAATACCAAGTTATTTTCAGAGTTGACCCACTCCCAAGATACTCATTTCCCTTCCTTTCAGTGTGCCACTAAAATGGAATCCGTTCATTTAGGATCCGGATAAACTCAAGGAATGCAAGTTCCAATGCAGTGGGATGGAGGTCACAGGAGAGGATAGGAAGGATGCGGTATTGGAGGCTGGTATGAGAACCTGGAAATTGCCATTTGCTCACCGGAAGAAATATATATCCAGTTGAAATGTTTTTCTGCTGACATCTGAAAATACTGTTAAGATTTCTTCTAACAAACCTCATCTGTGCTACTCCAAAAACAAGACTGAAAATAGATCATTTGGATAAAAACTTGAGAGTGTTGGGAGTGTCTGAGATGTCAGTTTGCATACAGCTTCCGCCTTGGTGCCAGCAGCCCAAGTGCTTGGCTTCCACCCCCAAGATAGAGTTTTTTTTTTATGTGAATCTGTTTCCAGTTCTGGGAAAGTGCTTGGTCCTGTTCCTGCTAGATTATTAATCATTTTGTAGTAGACTGTATGGATATGCATACGTTGTTAAAAGGTTTTCCCCTTAATATGCTACATATCTTTGGCAAAGACCAAGCTTCTGCTTTAAACCCTCCTTCACATGATTTAGAGCCCACTACTTTGTGAGGCAGTTTGGTAGCCCTGATTGTTAGAAAACTCTCCCTTATATTGAGCCGTGACTTGCCACTCTGGATTGTGGTTACTTTTAGAAGGGGAAGGAGCCCTGGTGGCGCAGTGGTTGAAGTGCTTAGCTGCTAACCAAAAGGTCGGCAGTTCCAACCTGCTAGCTGCTCTGTGGGAGAAAGATGTGGCAGTCTCGTTCCATAAAGTTTACAGTCTTGGAGACCCTATGGGGCAGTTCTACTGTGCCCTATAAGGTCGCTATGAGTCGGAATTGATTCGATGGCAGAAGGTTTAGAAGGGGAGGAAAGAGGTGTGGCTGGGTTGGGCAGGTGGAGGGCTTTGGAGGCAACTGGCAAAGTTCTGTTTCTTCACCTGGTTAGTGGTTTCAGGGGTGTTCACTTTATTCATATAGCTATATATGTTTTTTATGGAGTTTCTGTATCTGTGTTATATTTTACAGTAAAAAGGGTGTTTTTGTTTTGTTTTGTTTTTTAATCTGTCTCCCTGGAACTATCAGTTACTCACGGGCCCAATGGACAGTTGAGTGTTTTGGTTTTTTGCATAAGCTGATATCCATTTATTTAATACCTATGAATCAGAAAGACCAGTTTTTCTGAAGTGGAAACTGTAAGAATTTTGTGTGGTAAGCTTCAGTTTCCTCATTTGTGGGGTTATCATGACAGATGGGCTTTGGAAATTGTTGGATGATGGCTGATAAAAAGATAGTCTCTTACAGCTCTGTGCTTCCTGCTGTCTTTGCTTGACAGGTGTTTAAAAGACACAATCCCAGCACGGCTGAGGAGCAGGAGATGATGGAGAACCTGTTTGATTCACTCTGTTCCTGCCTGATGCTCAGTTCCAATCGTGAGCGCTTCCTGAAGGGTGAGGGGCTTCAGCTGATGAATCTCATGCTCAGGTATGTCTCTCATCTCCTTACTCTCCCATCTTTTTTGCCTGACTCCTCACTGTTAGCTTGGATTCAAGAACGTATAGCCATGGTCTTTTATTCTGTTGAGTTTCCTAGGCATATAGAATGATAAAATCTTCAGTTATGTGTTCGTGTGTGTGGCCTTTTCTAAATAAGGTTATATTGTTGTTGTTGTGTGCCATCGAGTCGATTCCGACTCATAGTGACCTGACAGAGTAGAACTGCCCCAGAGTAGGATTTTCCAGACTGTAATCTTTATGGAAGCAGATTGCCAGGTCTCTTCTCCTGCGGAACGGCAGATGGGTTCGAGCGACTCACCTTTTGGTTAACAGCCAAGTGCTTAACCATTGTGCCACCATGCTCCTTAAATGAGGTTATAGTGGGTAAATAAAAAGTATATTTTGGTCTGTTTGTACCCTGTTGTTGTGTCAACCACCCCATTAACCACCCCATTGAAGGGAGATGTTGTGTTGTCTCCCCTTCCTTTAGTGCATTGGTTTTGGGGAAATCTAGTCATTAACTTCTAATCTTACCCCATGCTGACTTCTTAACTTAGCCCACATTTTCTTTATATCACACACAGACCTCTCTTATCCCATATATTTGTCTATATTTTTGTCATCAATATCAGCAGAATATCATTGATTTTTTTTCATTTATTTATTCAGTAATGAATTGTACATGTGCTTTGTGCCTTCTGTAGGAGATGTAAAATGTGCATAACAGATAAAGAACTTTTCTTTATAGTACTTTCTTTGTTTAGTATTTATGCTGTAATTCTTTAGAATTCCTTGAAGTGTTTAAAGTGGATATCACGTTAGTGTATTTCATAAAATCCTGAAGTTGGAAGCGAAAGGGAGGCAGCTTGTCCCCATAACTTTTTGAGCAGTGTGGCTCGGAATGGGAGTAGAGAAATGGGCAAAGAGGGCAAGGAGTAACCAGAATGTGATGTAGGGTCAAGAGACAGTTTTTTTAATTGAGAGGCACTGGAATGTTAGCATGGTTAAAAGACTAATCTTTATGGAATTATTATTTATGAAGTTGAGACAGAGTTTGCTTTCTTGAAACTTCTGCTCATATACACTGAAAATTCTGTTAGACTAAAATTTTAAAATAAATTTGATATATATCTGTTAAATATAATTTAGAATATAGACATCCAAAACTGTTGTAAAAACTTTGATAAGGTACTATATTAAGTGCGAGGTTTACATAGACTTGAGTAAGACAGGATTCTTGCCTTCAAGAAGCTAAAACAAAAGCTTCTAGCCGAACACAACCCCTCTTTGGGTGTTTATTTCCTTCCAGTCTTTTTTCCTACAGTTGTTTTTAACAACTTTTTTAGGCCTACCACACACATAATTTTCTATAGTTTCTTTCTAAAGTTAACATTGATATAAGTGTATTGAATGAATAAAGGTTTCCCATACTGTGACATAATCTTCAGAGAGTTTTCAATAACTGCTTAAGGGGCTTTAAGGGAATATACTTAGCTTACTTACTGTTCTTCAGTTGTTGAATTTGAGGTTGTCTTCAGTGTTTTGCTATTATAAGAAATTCTACAATGACCATTTTTGTCCTTAAAACTATTTTTGTGTTTAAGATTATCGAGGTATATATTTTGAAAATATCTTCACTTTAAAGGCTTGCATGGGGCTAGGGATGCAGTGTATGTTTTCATTTATCCGGTGCGTACCAGACCTTAGGTTGATTGAAAGTCTTCCTTTGAGGAATTGCTTTTACAAAAAGATTTTTTAAAGTGCAGAAAGGAGCAAGGAGAATTACTCAGAGGCCTTCAGTGTTTGGTTGATTTTGCTGGCTTTCCTCTCTTGCGTCTTTTGTTAGTTTATTTCTTTTACCCTTTTAATTACCTGTCCTTTTGTTGAAATGACCCACCTTCTCTCAAGCAAATAGCATGTAAAGGAAATGCATTTGACTTCTTGGGCCTTCTAACCTTAAAACTACACTATGCAGGGACTTTCCCCTAAGCTTCTTAAAGGTCTGAACTGCCAGTGTCTTTGGATGGTTGAGTACAAATATGAAGTGATGTATTCCTGTAGCATATGGCGTGGTAATGTACAGCAGTGGGGAGGTGAATAAATAACCAGAAATATGGATTATTCAATCAGGAATGCTAAGGTTCTGGGAAGCTAATTAAAGAGGAACTCCGAAAGACTTAGAAACTGTAGCTCTCCAGCGTCTTCTAACTTTTCATTTTTGAATGCAGAAGTTACTGTTAGATTAATTCTTTTGCATTAATTTGCCGTATTAGCAGATTCAGCATTTCCTTTTTTGTCTTTCCCATGCATTTTGTTCTGTGTTATTTTTCTTCTTCAGACTCCCAAATGGAAATCTTAATTGGAAGGAATATTTTTCTTCCCCTACTAGATTCACCCTTCCTGATCTTCTGGCAAGAGCTACCAAGTGGCTCGCTCTCTCTGTCTAGAGAGAGCCCATTCAAGAGTAGGAACCCAAAACCCTAGAGGTTAGGGAGAATTTCTGTGGTCCTTTCCATTGCCCCTAAATACTAATCTTTACTTTGATTCAGTCATGCATCAAACAAGTAAATTACCCCTAGGAGAGGTGACAGGTTAATATAGGGTGAAAGAGTAGGCTTCAAGATTGAAGTAAATGTGGGTTTGGAATGTTCAGCTCTTGCACTTACTAGCTCTGTTATTTTGCTGAATTACTGTAACTTTTCTGACCTTCTGACTCTGTTTCTTCATCTGAAAAATGGGGATAATAATGCCAAATTTACAGGAATGTTATGGGAGTTAGACTACCTGTGAAGTATCTGGGACAGTTCTTGGCATATCATAAGTATGCTGCTTTTGAAACACTGATAAGGTACTATGTTAAGCGCTAGGCTTATACGGAGACAAGACAGAATTCCAGCCTTCAGGAGGCTAGTGAGGGAGGCAGACACCAAATAGCTATAATATTATTTAGTGTAGTAGCTGTTAAAATTAAAGTACCAGCTGAGATCTGAGAATACAGATGAGGAACAGTTAATTTTGTATATCTATATCCAGTGAATTTTTTTCTCATTTTTTATTTTCTTATCAAGGAAAGGTCACAAATAAGATAGACATTTATACGCATACACATTATCACATATTAAAAAAAAACCAAACCTGTTGCCATCGAGTTGATTCTGACTCACAGCAACCCTATAGGACAGAGTAAAACTGCCCCATAGGGTTTCCAAGGAGCACCTGGTGGATTCGAACTGCTGACCTTTCGGTTAGTAGCCGTAGTTCTTAACCACCAGAGTTTCTGTTACCACATATACATACATATATATGTGCATACATACATATACTACCCAATTTAGTATTTTTATCATCTTCTTTTTGGGGGGAGGCATAATTTACATACAATAAATACATCCATTTTAAGTGTACAGTTTGAATTTTGACAGATATATTTTAATAGATGTATATAACTCCCTCTACCACAATGAAGATATAGAATAGCACTGTCCAATAAAAATATAATGTGAGCAAGATACGTAATTTCAAATTTTGTAGCAGCCACATTTTAATAAGTTGAAAGAAACAGATGAAATTAGTGTTAATAATATATTTTATTTAACCCAGTATATCAAAAATGATCATTTCAGTATGTAATCAATATGAAAAGTTATTGGTAAACCGTTTTATTTTATATTTTTTTTTAATACTAAGTCTTCAAAATCCAGTGTGTATTTTACAGTTACATCTCAATTCGGATGCTAAATTTTCATCTGCATTTAGATTTAATAAAATTTACAGTTGAAAAAGTAGATTCATATACCCAGGTTACCTTCCAGTAACTGAACTGAGAATCAGTTTTTTTTTAATTTAAACATAAAATTACTTAAATAAAATAAAATTTAAAATACAGTTCTTCAGTTGCATTAGCCACATTTCACACGTGGCTACTATATTGGAAAGTGCGTATAGATCATTTTTATCACCTCAGAAAGTTCCATTGATCTCTGTGTTTATCTTTTTGCTAATACCACACTATCTTTATTATTACTGCTTTATAGTAAATCTTGCAGTCAGGTAATTTGAGCCCTCCAACTTTAGTCTTATTTTTCAAAAATTGTTTTAAGTAGTCTAGTTCCTTTGCCTTTCTATATAAATTTTAGAATCAGCCTGTCAGTTTCTACAAAAACTGCTGAGATTTTGATTGGGATTACATTAAATCTATGATCATTTTGGTTAGAGTGGACATCTTCGCAGTAGTGAGTTTTCCAATCCATGAACATGGTATATTTCTCCATTTATTTAGTTCTTTGATTTCTTTAATCAGTGTTCTAATATTTCTTAAGACAATTTAATATTTTACATTTTTCCTAGAAATTTGTCAATTTTATAAAGACTTTCAGTTATATAAATTGTCCCTATATTATCATTCTTTTTCATGTCTTCCATTTCATTTCCTCTTTTTTATTTTCTGTACTTTATGTCCCTTTTTTATTCCTAATGTTATATATTTGAATTTCTCAGCTTTTTCCCTCAATCTAACTTGTTAAAAGTGATTATTTTGTTTTTGTTCTATTGGGTAGGCATCTCTTCATATAGATCCAGCTCTTGATTTTATATTTGTTTGGTATTTTATTTGTTTGTGTGCTTTTTGTCTTTTTTCTCCTTGACTTTCTGCCTTTAATTCCTTTCTTCTACTTTTCTTTCCATTTATTTTGTTGCCCCTTTTTCCAAACTTCTAAGTTGAATGCTTAATGCTTTAAAGAAATATCCCTTTTGTTTAAAAATAATTTAAGGCTAAAAGTTTCCTCTTAATAATTGCTTTAGTGGGCTTGCTTTCTAATAGAAAGTACAGGTTATAAAATATCTACTTTTCTGAATTGGAGATTTTATTTGTGGTCTTGTACATGACTGTTGTTGTTGGATGCCATCAAGTCAATTCTGACTCATAACGACCCAGTGTGACTGAGTAGAACTGCCCCATAGGGTTTTCTTGGCTGTAATCGTTACTGGAGC